ACTATTACAATTGGTTTCCTACCATATTAGCTGTCCAGCTTTATTTACAGGTTAATTTCTTCATCATCAAATTTATTTATATTTCTTTTTCTCCATTCAAGCACAATTTGCAAGCTGGAAATAATGACCAAAAATTCTGTCCATGCAGTATATAACAGCTCACTTTCCAAACACAAGCACTAGAAAACTCATTACGAAGTACTTCATAAACTTCTGCCACTGCAGTAGGAAGTGACTGTAAATTATTACAGCTTTTCCAATTTAATGAGTACATTTAAATCTTGAAGTGATGGTGTTACTGCCTGCACTCGGCACAGAGATTTAAAAAAAAAAAAAGAGGAAAAAAGAAGAGTATTTCACATTTATATTCACACCATGCAGAGTAACTGGTAAGCAATGATGTTTTTCAGATGAGCATACATTACTTAGCCTGCCACATGAAGGCACTCTGTAATTTGTAAAATATTTTAAACTCTACTAGAATTCAAGTTTTCTGGTTTATTTAAACATCTTGAAAGAACTAACATACAATGCTAAATTTTTTGTTCTCAGTCTTCAGTGCATCATACTGTACAATTTTTAATTCTCCCTATCCTCTGCATAATTTGAAATTATAGTGTTTTCCACAACCACTCACTATTTATCTGTCACACAGCATGCTCAAAGCAGCACTCAAGAAGTATTAACTATTTTATGACTATTTTTGCGAAAGAGTTTTAACAAAATCTGTATGAGAATGTATTTCCACAGCCTTCTCCCACTACGGGTGACAAAAATCTAACAATTAACACCGCTCAAAATCATAGGGAAAAAAAACCACTTTTCAACATTTTACCGATGTGGAAACAGATGTAGACCATGGCATGGCTGAGAACAGAGTTTTGGTGTTTGAGTGGGGTCCCTTGTTTTGATTAGACTGGGAAGCGAGTGGCCCCTGGTGCAGTCTATCTCAGCCAAGTCTAGTAGGCATGAAAGTGCCCATAGGTCTTCGTAGCAAAAAGAAATAATGCAATTTCCTATTTCTGATTTAGTTGTTCTTCTATATCATAAGAAAAGTTAAATTTAAGCAATGATAATAAGATATTGAGAAAAGTTATTTGTAAACGTTTCAAGCATTTTACACTACTTAGAATAGTTTTTTACCAGCTTTTATTCATAGAGGAACATATACTCACAAAAAGTGGCTCTTAAAAAGAATGGTTACTCAGATATGCTTGCCTGATAATTTGAGGAGGCTGGATATTAATATACCACACAAGTGTTTTCTTAAAAAGTGCATATGTAAAAATAAGCATGAAACTTCATCACGCAAGCAGTAAGACAGGCAAATGCCATATGACTTACATGACTAAAAATAAGGACTTGAAGTAGGTAACTCTCCAAACCTTCTATATTAAAAAGCAGTATTTCAACATTTTGGTATATGTTTAACTTAAAGCATGCTCATACAATACCATTTACCAAATCTGAGTGTTCAAAGACAATTTTCCCCAACACTTTATGGAGACAAAAGACTAAATGTGAGAATGTAAGGAATGCATTGTCTGCAATGAATACTTCAGCAATTGCTTGTTATTTATTTTATATATATATATAAAAAGGCACTCTAATCTATTACCAAGCTGTAAAAATAGAATCTTTGGATTTATGCATCTTGCTATTACACTGTTTTCACCCGATTTTTCAATTGCATTTCAATGTAAATACATGGCAATGGTTTGATATCTTTAGTGGAACAATTCCATTATAATTTTTGAAAGACGTGCAAACTTACAAGAAGTAACTGCTATGTAAGGGCATTTTCTTTATGTTCGGGACACAGTATCAAAATACTCTGTTATCAGGACAGTTCAGGTAAACCATCTGCATTAATGCTATTCTGAGAATACCACAAAGAGCGTAACATATCTTCCACGATCACATTTACAGTTTCAAGGGATTAGTCACCCTTTTAACCATCAGTATTTAGAAGCAGCCCTGAAAAATCAGTTGTTACAATTATCTCAAAGCTTAAAAATCCTTACTATTGTAACAGCTCTAATTGTTTTCATATCTATATAAACACCTAGTCTTTCACTGAGTCTTGATGCTCCTTGGTCCAATGATATCCTCAGGCTAATTCTGCATTGTTACAAAATATTCTTCCTTCAGTCAGTGTTAGAATGGCTCCATTTCAATTTCATCTAGCAACCCCTTGCTTTTGTATTTAAAAGAAAAAAAAAAAGACCAGAATGAGCTACCTGGCCAATTCTCTCCGTAACTTTCATCATTCTGGGTACACTACCATCGCACCTCTGTGTCTTCCCTAATGCCTGGACCAAAGAATCTCTGTCCAAAAATCAAATACAAAAGTGCTTAATAATAATAATAACAATAACAACCAAAACCAAAACAGAATAGCAACCTTAACATGAAGCTCATGCTTTCCTGAACAGGACATAGTTAAGAATCTTCTTAAATGATTTCCTGAAGTTACCCGCAGCTACACCTCCCAGTCCGTTCACTCGCTTTGTAGGGAAGCTTTCCCATTCCTCTACCCAACCTTTGCTTTGTTTTTGTTTCTTTTGACCTAGGGTAACCAGAACTGAACAAAGCATGTACCAGTGACTTATATGAGATTATTACATTTTCCCACTCTGTCCCCTTTTGTATTCCTCAAACATTTCAATATTATGTTAGCCTTCCACACAATGTTGCTTATTAAAATACAAAGGAATTTGAAAAGCCTGGACTTTTTAAAAAAATACAGAACTGGTCAGGGATGTGGAGGCTGATGATAGCCTTGGCAGCAGCGACCATGAGATGGTGAAGTCTGAAATCCTGAAAGAAGTGAGCAAAACAAATACTGAAATTGCAGCTCTGGACTTGGAGAGGCAGGTTTTGCCTTGTTCAGAGATCTGCTTGGCAGGATCACGCAGGAGACTGCTTTAAGGGGTAAATGAGCACAGGAAATCTGGGTATTCAGGGACCTCACACCAGGAGAATGATGCATGCCAATGTGCAAGAAGTTGAGCAAATGTGCATGAAGGCCAACGTGAATGAACTAGGGTCTCCTGACTTAGTTCAAACAGAAAAGGAGGTATGCAGAAGGTGAAACTGGGGAAACGTTATATAGAGAATGTATATAGTGATATTGCTGTAGTGTACAATAATTAGGAAACCCAAAGCTCAACTGGGAAAGAAACTAGCAAAGGCAACAAGAAAGGCTTCTATATGTGTACAGGCTGCAAAAGCAAATTACCGAACCGGACGGAGTGGCAGATAAACTGAAGGGCAGGTTTGCTATTCAGAACGCCCTCGACACGTTGGAGGAACAGGCTAACAAGATCTCATGAAGCTCTACAAAAGCACACGCAAGGCCCTGCACCTGGGGTGGAACAGCTGTGTGCACCAGTACAGCCCGGTGACCGATTATTTGAAAGCAGCTCTGCAGAAGAAGACCCGAGTTGAACACGAGTCTGCAATGAGCCCTGGCAGCAAAGGTGGCCACAGGCATCCAGGGCTGCGTTAGCAAGAGGGCAGCCAGCAGGTCCAGGGAACTGACTATTCCCCTCTATTCAATACTGATGAGACCATATACAGACTACTACGTCCATCACAAGGACAATGACATGCTGCAGCAAGTCCAACAGATGTCCACCAGAACAAGGAGGGGCTGTAGCAGATGACTGCAAGACGCAAGGAGAAGCTGAGAGAACTTGTTTGCTTGGTCTTAAGAAGGAGAGATTTTACTGCTGTCTTCCAGTAGTTAACGGGAGGACATAGAGGGGATGGAGCCAGGTTGTGGACAAGAGGCAATAAGCACAAGCTGCAACAGGGGAAATTCCAGCTAGGTATCGGTAAAAGGAAAAAACTACTATGAGGGCGGCCAACACGGGAACAGGTTGGCCAGAGAGACTGTGGTATCTCCAACCCTGGAGATAACCAAATCTATATTGGACAAGGCCCTGAGCAACCTGATCCAAGTCAGCCTGATGTTTGGCATGGTCTCCTGAGGTCCTTTCCAAAGAAAGTTATTCTGTGAATCTATTTTATGACACTGTGATTAAAAAAAAAACAAAACAAAACAAAACAAAAAAAAAACAAAACACCACAAAAACACACTCACAACATCTGTATCCTGAATTTCAAACATTTTTTGACTCTTTACTTCAACAACAGAAATTCTATCAGACACCATGGGATATAAAGTTCTTTTAAAAAACACACGTTTTCTAATTAATTTGTGAGATTACATTTAAAAAATAAACTATGAAAAAACGTTATCATCAATGTTAGTCTAAATGAATTATATGAAAATATTGACTATAATCAACAGGAAATAGGTGCAAGGAAGTCTAATATCGAAACTACATTTTTAGCTAACACAGCAGAGAACATCTTCTGAGGACATAATAAAAACTATCAGATAAATAAAAATACATAAAATATTTTGAAAACAAAATTAAATTGTTATACTTTACTTCAGTAACTATAACCAGTGTGAAAAATGAAACTAAAAGTACTATTCCAATATCATTCAAGTTTCTAAACTATAACAAGCTCACAAGCACTCACTTTATTCATTTTTCTAGGTACTCACATGACAAAAGCAAAGCAAAAATAAACTATTTTTGGAAATACAAAAACTAAGAATACGAGACCGTGAGAGTATAAAGATTCTTAGTGAGACAATAATATAATACCCTAAGTGGACTGAAATTTCACCCTTAACTTTTGAGATTTCTTCTGGATTTTATGCACTTGATTACTTCTGTCTATATAGTGAGGCAGTGCTAATTTATGCCTTCCTACGGGGATGACGGCTGTCTATGCCAGCACCAGAAACTGAATCAGAAACTCCAGAGCTAAAAGCTAACAGGCTACAGTCTCTTAACTCAGAGCTGCAGATTCATGTTTTATTCATAAAAGCAGATACCTACACACCAGCTTATGAAATGCATTCTTTTGGCATTTAACATTTTTATTTCGCTTGTTAAAAAAAAAATTACACATCTTACCTTCAGGTCACTTCCTGGCAAAGTACCTATGCCATCCTTCCAGTCCATAGCACTAAATACATCAAATTCTTGACCATTTCCACTAGAGGCAGATTCGTTCATGATGCATGTACTAAAAAAAAAAAATAAATTAAAAAGTAAAACTATTTTATGTGAAAATGCTGTAACTGGTTTAATGCTTATATTATCAAACATTTCTTCAAACACACTTCATAGATTAGCATCAAATGCTTCCCTCAGCACATTGGCAATGTGGACAACTGATGACAATGCTGATAACATAGACTAATGTAATAAAAACAAGGGGAAATCTCTTGAAAACCTTAAAAAATAACACCTGTTTTACACCCTAGGAGGCTATTAATGAGGCTGTATAGGAGAGAAGTGAAAAATTTCAAACTGCAAATAAAATGACATGTGGAAAACATACCTCAGGAAAAACATTTGTTCTGGGGAAGGCAAGACATGAGTGCATGCCTATAATAAATACATTAAGCACTGATTAATAGAACTGCTTTTCCTTAATATCAGATAACATGCTGATGTGAATGCTTCACCCAAGTTCAAATTAAAATTTCAAAATGAATTTGAAACTGTCTTTCATTTTCACTGTCTGACTCAGGACACCCAAATATTCCGTGTCTATTTCCATACAGTTTCACTAAATTTTGATTTGCATTTATAAAATTTATTTCCATGTAGAGAAGCATACATGCACTAGAGGAAACTACTGCTTTGCAAGACTTTATTTTACTGGATCCCTCTGTTTCAGAACAGTGAAAGGAGAGGAGAGAATATTTATCTTCAGAAACAGTGGATTTGGACATCCTCTTCTGTGGTAAGAGTTTACCCCAAATAATTTGCACAAGCAACAGAAGCATACAACACTTGCCGCTGACCCCTGGCTTTGGCCCAGCGCTTGTCACTGCCACAAAGACAGCATCAGTTGCACTGAACTCCAGATGTTTCCCACAGCCAGTTTTGTTTACCAACAACTTCTTCCTTTCCACTTCTTACAAACCCAGCAATCTTTAAATCTGTGGCCTGGCACCTAATTTACTATTTGTTCAATGAAATCTGACTCATTCATTTTCTTTCTGAAGAACTTCTGCCCTATGCCTAGCAGCTGAAACATTTTGTGGCAAAATTAGCTCCATTTTCGGTTTGTGAACTAATAGCAAAAGCTCACTCCTTTTCAAATTTACACTTTCTGAACTTTTTAACAAATACTTTCTAAGCCTCATAGTCTGCCCGCAGACTGCAAACTTTTGCTGCAAGTATCAGTATTTGAAATTTAAATAGGTAGAGAGCTTCCTCAGTGCTTGACCTTGTTTTCTAAAATCTAATTTCTAACTTAGGTCCCACTCCCAAAATCTGCAAATATCTATTAATACCCTCTGGAAATCTGGAATTTCCACAAAACAGACTGAGTGATATTTGTTCACTCACAGATAAAAGAAAAAGATGCAAACCAAGCAGAAGTAAACACGGGTCGCCTAGAAAATTTTACTGAAAGTCTGAGGAGAAAAATGCTTAGCTAGTTAACTCTACTGTGTGCAAAATAAACGAATTCACATTTTTTCCATCAGAAAAATTGTACCAATCACTGTAATACACTACTACAGACAGATGCTACTCTGGTTTTGGGTCCACAATGTGAACTCCCTTTTATTTTTCCTTGGTTTCCTCCTCATTTCTAGCAGAATTCTTTAAAACCCAAAGCAACACCTTACTCCACAAGTACTTCTGTTACACTACATCCACTACACAGTATCAGCAGGATACCAGGAGGTGGACATCGGTCAGTAACCACTGCTTAGGGTCAAAGCTTCCACATCCCCCTTCATTTCATATGATGGGTAGGGTTCACAGAAGGCTCTTTGAGAAAGCTTCACGTATTTCACATGACAAGTTTGAACTAAGAAGAACCACATGATTCAGTGTGTCTTCTCCATCCCTAATTTCAGTAATCCTCTATGAGAAAGTATTGAAAACCATACTGTCAATGTACAAAAATTCATTTTAAAATATGTCAATAAATCTAAACAAATTCAATGCAAACTGAGAAATTCCCCACAGCCATAGACCTTACCTTTTAAAATCACTTCCAGGCAAAATCCACCACCCACCCTACCTCAGGGTCGCTCCTGCAATACAACTTGGACGATCTCTGTTCGACCCGAGAGCACGGTACATCGCAGAGCCCAAGCCCCCCAAGACCCCAGCCCTCCACACCGCAGCGCACCAACTCAAGCAGGCTTCCACCCAACCGAACTGCAGCACGATGGCAGAGGCGCAGGCCCTCTCTCAAGAGCACAAGACCCAGGCTGCTAAAGGAGTAGCTGAAAAATTGGATCTATCCAGAAACCCGTGAAATTTTAAGGACGTGAAACACACTGGTTTAAGCACATGGTGTAACGTGCTCCCTGAGATTAGCCTGGCTAAGCAAACACAAAGCTGTGTTCTGTATTAAGTGAAGTTTCCAAGTAACCTTAAATTACCACCCTATTTAGAGGACACTCCACTCAACTCTCCTGTGGTTTATTTATTACAGAAAACACGTTCCAATGGTTTCTGCCGAAGACGGGAAGAGACTTGGGAGGCTATGGGGAAATGCTTCCTCCCAGCTGCCACTGTCCCATGAAGCGAGGAGCAGCGGACAGATGCCCCATCGGATGCACAGTCTCCGATAGTGCTACTCTCGTCATAGACACACTTTGTAACAGAACCAGTTGGGAAAAAAAATCTTAGAGCCTAGCCTACTTAGGCAGGATGTAAATGTGCAAGTTAAAAAAAAAAAAAAAAAAGGTAACAGAAATGTTCAGGGCATATTTCTCTCAAGAAAACATACAAATTTTAACTTAATTACACCTAATGAAGTTTCCTCAGGTAACAAATCAGCAATAATGAGATATTCTATTGTTTGATAAGGTATTCATTGTTGTTTTCCTTTTAAAATTAACTCAACATAAAAGGCACAATCTGTACTTTCACATTCCGCAGCCTTCAGAAACGTTCTTAGTGAGGATGAAAAGGTCACAGGGCAACGCAGATAGAAATGAATTTACCAAAAGGAATTACATTTAACAAAATATCTGTTTCCAGCTTTGCTGAGTTTGAACAGATGAAAGATAGGGCTATATCCCTCTGCTAATGATAATAAGGAGGAAGACAGAGACCAATTAAATTGTTACAGCAATGAGGTACTAAAAAAGGATGAAATCATCGCAATATATAGATCTAAATCATGTAACAAAGAAAACTACAGAATGTCTTATCTACTCATTTTTGGTTTTAAAGCTCTGATGTAGTTCTTTGAACTAGTATAACTCCTTCCATAATGATTTCATTTGCTACGATTTCTGTTGCTACACTTCCCAAAAAGTAGTAACTACAGTACTGTCTGCATGCCTGTCACTGAATGCCATCTGATGTGAAGGGAAGGACATAAGAGTAAGAACTTGGAACAGTCATCTTCCAAAAGCATCCCCAAAATCCACTATTACGGATGTAACCATACCTCAGTCTTTAGAGCCATAACCTCTGACTTTTATAGAGGAGTGTGTTGCATGTTAATATTTCGACATTAACTTTGTTTTAGACATATGTAATAAATTCATTAAAATAAGCAAGCATATAAAATAAGATTAGACACATCCTTTAGAAAAACCTTCATTTTAACCAACCGGTTCAACAATAAGTGAGTACCTCACAGAGGAGACATTTAATAGAGAATCACAGCACTAAAAATTAGATAGTTTCATCTGGTGAAAGACTCTCTAAAGATGCAAAGCAAAGAAACAGGAGAGAATGTGCCAACTAAACATACAAGTAGTTTTCAAAATAATTATAGGGTTATGTACTGAACACATCAAAAAGTACTAGTAGAAGGATTCTTTCTTTCAGTCGGTGATTTAAAAAACTACCTGACACCTACCCAGGTGATTTTTTTGTCCTAATATCGTAGATGGTTATTTTGGACATCTCCAAGGAGCAGGCTGTTTGGCACAGCATGCAAGGGCTAACGGGGCACATTCTCCCTACACAATAAATCAGGAAAAGTAAGATCAGAAGGGGACAACGCAGTGTACCAGAGCTGCAAATACGCTAACTTGTAAACACCACGGGACAAGTGGATACTCAGCTTCAGCTTTATTTAACGTGTAAGAACATGAGCACTACCAGGGCTGACCTGTTACACCGCTGAAGCCACACAAAGCAGAATTATCCCTCACAACGTAAGCTCCATTTCAGACAGATTTGTATTAAGCTAGCTTTATAGTGACAGCAAAAGGAAAGACAACTGACTGTAAACCCACCAGGGTGAGCCCTGCTTTCCTCCTCGCAATCCTCTCTTGGAGCTGGGTGCACCCCATGCTTAACTCTTTCTCACCCTTCATCTTTTTGCACTTGATTCTTCACTTAAAGAAAAACAACCACAACAGGAACAGTGCAGGAAATGGTAAAATGCTTTGAGGCTATCCACCACATTTTAATATGTATTTTGTTTTGTACTTGTTTAATGGTTCAATTATTTTGATGTTTCTTCAAAAGTAGTATCTGCAGATAACACATCTCCCTCAAAATCTCATTTTTCATTGTTGAGGACCCACTTTACTAGTTCTGCCATGTTTCTATTCTGCGTGTTGAAGAGCTCCTTCAGTAAATTTCACTATTTTGCCTGTTGCTCTTGAAGTTTATCACAAGTATGTTATTTTAAAGATGGGCTATATAGCTTATATACGTATTCACAAAGGGACCACAGCTTAAAATTCTTTGTCATTCTTAAAACTTGTAGCAGAAAATGGACCAGATTTCCTATTGACGACGTCCCTTTAGCATTATTTCCTCTTATTTTTATCTGTTGCTACTCTTCTGCCTGCTAGATTCGCAAAGCATACTGTGTTATGTTTGTTCCTGCTTCTCAATACATCATCTTAAAACCTTTCTCCTCACAGAAACAATCTGTCCACAGATGCATTCCAAAATGCTGTGAAGCCTGAGTCTGCACCAGGAGGTTCACGCTGTCCTCAGCTGAGTCTGGCCTCAGCCAGTGAGCTAACACAGGTATTTTTGTACCACTGCCAGGAACTGGGTAACACAGTT